TGCTCCTCTGATGCTGTGTTCATCCAGCTCTACACCTTGTTATCTAACTAGAGGGGAATTGTTCAGTTTGTTAATAGTTCAGTTAATTTGTTCATTGTTAGAGTTAGATAAATAAATTGTTACATGTTGATTATAGCGTGAATGTCAGGAGTTTATTTCACTTAACTACTCCTTTATAACAGATTGGTGGGGACAGGCAGGTTACACCACTTTGCACACTTCTTTTAACAGATTATAGGGCAAGGCAAGGCTCTTTGGGTGCTTTGGTGTTTGTTATCAGGAGGGGGTCAACCTCCACTTTATAACAAGGTGTATCAATTGAATTTAGATTGGCCACAATTTAATTGAACAGCAGAACAGAATCAGGGCCGAATCCTATTCCTAAGGTGTTTGCTGATATTTTCATGCCATAATGTTTAAAGTAATCTGAAGAAGCATTAAACAAGTTTAGTTCTCAGAAATCATTGACTATTCTGCATGAGTTCTCCTCTGGGACCAACCTCACGAGAGCAAGAGTGACAGCGGGAAGCCGGCGCGAGAGGGGAAGAAGGCGCGAGAGGGGAAGAGCGTGTGAGAGGGGAAGAGGTTGCAAGAGCAAGGTGGATGAGGGACTGATGTTTTAACTGCTCCAGACCCAATGTACAGTGGCACACATTTGACAGTCAGGGGATTTCATAAGCAGAAAGAAAAATTAAACATAAAACACCCTCAGGATGTTGCAAACTGTTTCATAGCCAATGTATTGTGCATCAAATGCATTCTCTGTTGTAATGCCAGCCAACTTTGCTGCTTGTGAGATTTTACTGTTCACTGTCAATTTAGATCAACAGCCAACTGATCTGTTTTCATGGGATTGGGTTAACAGAATAAGGTTTACCAGAGCATGTACAGACTGTTTTGCCACAAAATACAACTATTTGAACAGAAATACAGAGCTTCAGCTTAGACCCTCATCCAAATGATACAAATGCAGTACCCCCTCAATCCTGCACTCATGTTTTTTCTGAAGAAGGGTCTAGGCCTGAAACGTCAGCCTTCCTGCTCCTCTGATGCTGCTTGGCCTGCTGTGTTCATCCAGCTCTACACCTTGTTATCTCTGCACTCATGTTAGTTTGGATTTTGGGCTCAAGTCCAAAAGGGCAGCCTGAAACTAGGTCCTTGTGACTTAAGAACAAGAATGTTAATAATTATATTGAGGTGTTATGTGCCAATGGTGTAGTAAAGGATAAATGTGTAGCAGTGTACAAGATTTTTATCAACACCACGCTGATTCCCAGCATTCTTGCTCCCTACCTGCATCACCAAGACTGGTAGCAGAGTATTAATAATGGACTGGTGAAAATTCAAACTTTTGGGATTAATTTCTTATGACAGTAGCATTTGAAGGCATAGTGACAGATGGAATAGGAGAAAGACACAGGAACAGAAGGCAACACAGCAGCAGCACATGCATATTTACTATGTTAGAAACCATATTATTGCCTGTTAAATGGGAAAAAATGTTACAATTATAAAGGGGCTGGCTAGTATACCAGTGCTGATGATCAAGACAGGGTCACATCCAGATTTCTTCACAGACAAATCCACAATTTCAGTCTTGCCTTAGTATCAGAATGCAAAGCATAACATCCATGAACACAATCCCATGCTCGCTGTACTGAAGCATTGTTCCTGCCTGCTGCACCAATATAATTATGAGGGACTCAACTCACCGAACCCTGTTCCTGACCAAGAGCCGCATTCACCACACCTTTCAGGATATATTCCTAATAAGGGAGAAGAGAGTCAATGCTATATATTACATGGTCCAGTAACTTGGACATTATTGCAAGCATAATCTCTAAGTCTGGCCCTGGGGGAAGAGTGGCCTTCCTTTTGCACAGGCTCATATATAACATAAATCAGAGCATGAAATAGAAACAAACATATAGCATTTTATAGTCTAAACACACTCGCAAATCATTTATTACTGCAGTCTGTAACAACAGTGGCATTAAAACAAAGACATTTTTGCTTCTGTACCTTTAAGAAATATTATGGAGAAGGTAATAATAAAACTAAAGACACAAATATACAGATTATGGATTAAATTAATTGATGTCAAAATTTTCTTTAACAACTCTCCTGTGGATTTTCTGGGGATGTTTATTAAACTAAAGGCTCAATACAAATGTAAATTAGTGCTGGTGGAAAGCTGATCTCTGCAGGCACCTCCCTTTGCTCACTTGGTACCTCTGGTGGAAGTGACATTGTACTACAGCAGAGCAACACTGGTTGAGAAATCTCTTTTTGGCAAACCATGTCAGACACAAGATTATAAACTAATAGTAATAGACTTCCTCATTGGCATATGATCTCAAATTCCACATGAGAAGTCATGTAAGTGTCCACTTCAACATTTTTGGGAAATTGCTGATAACAATAGAAAGTTTGAAATAGGAGGCACACTAGATTCATATCCAAGCATGTACTATTCACACTGGCTGAAAGAGCTGGAATACTACACACTACTGAAGCATTGATTTGAGAATAACTTAATCAAGGCTTTTAAGATGAGCAGCACATTTGAGGTGACAATTTGTTGCAATTAAAAGAGGTCTGGGAGGATCCAGGCCACATTTTTAGCGTAAGACCAAAGCTCAATTTCCAAGGAATAGTAAATCTGTGGAACAGACTTCCCGCTCATGTAATGAATACTGATCAACTGGAATTCTTCAAGTCAGAGTGGAACTAGTACTGGACGGGGTGAAAAACATTTCAACAAATATTAGGTACTGCATAGAACTACCAGGGCCAGAGTGATCTCCTGATTTAATTTCAATCAGTGAAGGGATGGGGCAGGGTGGGGAAGAGAATTGGAGATGAATTTCCCAGATTTCACTTTTCCAAAATTGGTCTGGAATTTTAGTTTGTTCTTTTGCCTCTCCCAGGAGTTCACATGGACTTTGGTAGGGTGATGTGCCAGAGGGAAATTGCCTGTTCATCATTCTGCACATGAGTATGCCATTCAGGCTCTTGAGCCTTCTCTGCCATTCAATGAAATCATTATTGACCTGCATCTCAACTCCATTTATCTGCCTTTGCTCCATAACCCTTTATAACTATAATCTACCAATGACAATCTTCAAAGTTCAAATTCTACCCTAGGTTTTTTTGGGAAACAGTATGGATCTCTGCTCCCTTTGTGAGAAAACATGCTCCTTGATTGCCCTCCAATGTGGTCAATGCTAATATTAAGATTACATCTACTTCTCCATTCCCTCAACAAAGAAAAATAGTTTCTGTGTGCAGAATGTTATAGGGGCTCTGAGTGATGTGGGCAGTGACAACATCTGTGGCAGAATCAGACACGAACTCTGATGAGGTACATCATGATGTCAAAATCATCCTGCCTTGTCTTTTATGCTTTTATGCAAGTTGCCAAATGATGGTAATTAAGACTGGCTAAAGTCATTGTTGACCAACCAACTTGCCATACTAATATTACAGTTGCAACCTTGCCAAACCGAGATGGTAAACTAGAGATTGGAAAACCCAACATGGAAACCAGGGTGCCTTGTGGGTTACTCTAAATAACCTCCATTTTCGACACTGAGCACCATCTTGGGATATGTTGTGCATGAATCACAGAAGGTAGGTCTGCAGGAACAACAAGTAATTAGGAAGGCAAATGGAACTTTGTCCTTCATTGCTAAAGGGATTGAAATTAAAAGCAGAGAGGTTATGTTGCAGCTGTACCAGGTGCTGGTGAGGCCACACCTGGAGTACTGTGTGCAGTTTTGGTCTCCTTACTTGAGAAAGGATGTATTGGCACTGGAGGGGGTGCAAAGGAGGTTCACTAGGTTGATTCCGGAGTTGAGGGGGTTGGCTTATGAGGAGACACTGAGTAGATTGGGATTATATATTCATTGGAATTCAGAAGATTGAGGGGGGATCTTATAGAAACATATAAAATTATGAAGGGAATAGATAAGATAAAAGTAGAGAGGATGTTTCCACTGGCAGGTGAAGCTAGGACAACAGGGCATAGCATCAAGATTAGAGGGAGCAGATTTAGGACTGAATTGAGAAGAAATTTCTTCACCCAGAGGGTTGTTAATCTATGGAATTCCTTGCACAGTGAAGTAGTTGACGCTACTTCAGTAAACGTTTTTAAAAAAAAGGTAGATATTTTTTGAACAATAAAGGAATTAAGGGATACAGTGAGAACGCGGGTAAGTGGATCTGAGTCCACGAAAAGATCAGCCATGATCTTATTGAATGGCGGAGCAGGCTCGAAGGGCCAGACGGCCTACTCCTGCTCCTAGTTCTTATGTTCTTATGTTCCATGGGCACCTGCCATGTGCACTTCATGCCCATGTCATTTGATATCCAACATGTGCCAGCCTCTAAGAACCCTCATAGCACATCTCCAAAGCACTTGCAGGTTGCTTCTATACTTCAATACCTCACCTCATCCTAAACCAGCAACTCTGCAATAACACAGGACTCAGGGATTTGCACCCAAAACATGGACTGAATCAGGTTGCATCTCTCTGCTCTTTGCTCACTGTCATGGTGAGAGATACTTCCAATGTCCCACTAATATGCAAGAATACAGGGGAGGAATTAAATACCATTACCATCACTGAAGAAGTAGTATTAGAGAACAAATGGGCCTAAAGGCTGATAAGTCCCCTGGCCCTGACAGCTTGCATCCTAGGATCCTAAAATAAATAGCTACAGAAAAAGTGAATACATTGGTTGTAATTCTTCAAAAATTTTTGTATCCTGGAGAAGCACCGGAGGATTGGAAAACTTCTAATGTGACACCCCGATACAAAAAGTGAGCAAGGCAAGAATAAACATACGCCAATTAGCCTAACATCTATTGTTGGAAAACTATTGGAATCAATTATTAAGGAAGTAACAGCAGAACATCTGGAAAATCACAATCTTAAAGAAACAGCCTACAGCTTCACTAAATACCAAACTGTCCCAGTTCCTACTTGATTATTGGAAAACCCCTCATGCAACTACAGAGATAGCTCCAGCAGGGTTGCTAATGGGAAGAAAATTCCACACCAGGTTAAATCTGATCTTCCTGGGCCTAGTGGTGGCAGGGGGTGGGGGGAGAAGGGGTGTTGTTGTTGGTGGTGGTTTGGTGGTTGAAACGGCCATAGGCGCATCAAATGCCGGACAGAGGACTCTGCTAAGCTGCACAGACACTTTACTTCAGGGGACAAAGTTTGATGTAGAAACCTTGTGGCGACACTGCCTGGGTAAGAGGCATGGTTTATGCTAGGTCAGGTCCAGTGACATATAAAGTTCAGGTTGGAACGATAGGCATAATAAGATGAGCATTCTTGCTTTGAATTACTTTGCCTTGCCTCTACAGCCAGAGTTATCAGTCTACTGCTGTTTTTCCATGCTGTTTATGCAGACACAAAACGAGGAGACATGTCACAGTTGTCAGCAGACCTCAGTCAGAGGGGATAGCCTTCATTCAGTTGTTCCCAGCACAGTAATGTGATTCCAATCTGGGCCTGCTTGGGGCAGTCAGATTCAGAATCCTCTTTCATAAAGGGTGAGGAGTCAAAGAACAGGCAGCACAGCACCAGTCATGACTGTTTCTGCCACACAGTGGGCTGTTTTACTCTTTACATGAGAAATGGGCTGGTATTGTGCAGGATGAAAGTGGATGACACAGTTATGACTATTGGTGCAGGTGGGGAGGTGTCCCAAGAAAGTGAGCATGCAGTGCAGAGGGCATGTATGGTGAATAGTGTCATGGGATGGGGTGGGTAAGATGTTGCAGGAAATGAGAGTGGTGGAACATGAGCCTCGGAAGTAGTGGGGTCTCTATTCAGAGATAGAGGAGCATGAGGTATCAGAGAGAAGATGGGAGTATTTATTTTGGTGGAGGGGAGGTCATTGGCCTCATTCCTATGGGCATCCCTCCAGACAGCAGAGATTGTTTTAATCTGGGTGGCAACTTTAGGTTGGGTTGACATGGGTTAATTCCTGCACTGCTAGTCATGAAGGAAGAGTATGCACTTTTGAAGCTCCAAAATGGAATGCCCATTAACCCTTGTTTGCCATGTCCAGGGTAATTGTTAAGTAAACATACAGAGTTCAGGAGTGACAGTGCTTGTCTTGGTGCACAAGGAGATGGCAAGTGCACCAGGGATACCAGTCAATTCCATATCTCCAGTGAATAGTAAGTTGTTTATGAACAGTACACGTTATAATGTGATGCATGCCATGGGGGCATAATGGCAATTAATGCAGCGAGCTTGGTAACACTCAGCAAGAAAACCTTCCTTGCCTTGCGTTGAGATTCCCTCCAAACTCAATGTGGTTTGCGCTTGGACAAAAACAAAGCTAAGATTCAGCCTTTTGCATCCACCCTTTTAACATTATAAATACCGTAATCAAAATCACTCCTAAATTTTCAAAATTCAAAAATTGCATAGATTTGGCTTATACTGTCAGTCCTCGTAATTAAGCACAGAAAATGCTGTAGAAACTAAGCAGGTGTGGAGGAGAGAGAAACACAGTTAACATTTCAAATCTGGTATGACTGTTCTTCAGAACTGAAAGGTGTTGGAAAATGGAATTTTCTCTATACTTTTGACAGAGGTAGAGGCCCAGTGCAAAAGATAGATGAAGTACTATTTTACTTGTACTTCATTCAATCTAGTCAACTGCATTGACTGCTCTCAATGCTGTCTCTTAGGCATTGGTGAGACCAAATGCAGACCACAAAATCATAAGATGTAAGAAC